AAATACTGAAACATGTTCAATTTGAGCAAAATCCTATAAACGAAGCCCAGAAGTTCATATCTCCTTTGACTCAATGAGTCTGTAAATAATTACAATGAATCTATGTGAGCCAGTCTTGCTGCTCACGTATCATTAAAATCAAACTTCTGGTTCTGCCAGTGTATTAACTTGTCTATATAGTCACATAATTAGGACCTCATCATTTCGTGCTATTCTGGGGCTTCCTGGCGTCCTCCGGCCTCACAGCCAACACTGAGGAGAGCAGCTATTATGGTCTCATAAAATTTTGCTGTCCTTCACCTTCTGCTGTTTTCCTCTGTGAGACTCCTATTTTATTCAAGATGAGGGGGAAAAGACTGGGAAGATCAGTAAGTTTTCAAGATTTTATTTAAAATACAGGGAAACCTGAAAGATGGAAAGGCTTTAGTCAGTCTGTCCAGATTCACCTTCTAAGACCTTTGTAGCAGCTAATTGCTGGAATTTTGGAGACTCAGACTTTGCAGGTACTCAGAGACTGATACAGTAAGAGATAATTTCAACTTGGCTGTGGTTTATGTTGATTTTAGTTGTTTTGAAAGTTGTCTTTTTTCCCCCCTAAGGCACCCCTGCCTTGTAGTGAAGTTACTGCCTTTCTCCGTTAAAGAAAACTATGTGAAGGTCCTACTTGGGGCCAACTAAAACTAAGGTGAGGTTATTGCGTGGTTGCACACGAACTGGCACGAAATGTTTGCATTTCCATTCTGTCTTCTTGTTTGTTTGTTTGTTTGTTTGTTTTTCTTCGGAAAGGGATTAGGTTGAATCGTGAGCTCCTTTCAACAGCCTCCTGCTTTTCGGTTTTGTCGAAAAGTTTCTGCGTCAGGTTTGAGTCTTGACGGGCAAAGGGAACGCTGGACGTTGCTGACTGAGTTCTGCTCCTCACAGCAGCCTCCCTGCAGGTCAGCCCTGGCGACATTCGCCGCTGGACTCTTGCAAGGGGTGGGGGCGGGGTGGGGGTTCGCATCTGAGCCAAAAGCACCGCAGCCTTCGGCAGAGCCAACAGATGCTGGAGAGAAACTCGGCTCTGGAGCTGCAGAGCGGTGGGCGTCGGGCACCGAGCGGCACGCATTGGGCACTGGGCATTGGGTAAGGGACCGGCTGTGCGATAGGGGGCAGAGGGAGGTGTTGGGAAGAGCAGAAGAACCTCTGGAGCTCGCCCACCCCCGGGGAGCGAGCCTAGCCGCCCAGTCTGAGGCTCTAGAGCTGAGGCTGTGCGCCCCGGTGTCGCAAGAACCTTTGGGCGACTCCCCGACCGGGTCTCCGTGCGGACCCGCTGCTTTCCCAAGAGGTAAGAAGGCTGGGAATCTCCCAGGCTCTGTGGAAAGCCGGTACAGGCTGGGCGGGAAGCAGCAGTCCCGCCTAGGGTTGCACCTGTTGCGGAGAACGACCTCAAGCTGCGCACCGCCGCCCTCCCTGCCAGGGCGCTGGGTGTGGCCCCGAGAGCGCAGCCCCCCGCCCCCGCCGCTGGCTGCCGCGAGCTCCAGCTTCTGGCTCTCCGAGCCCTCGCGAGGGGCCTCTGGCCTGGGCCAAGGTCAAGGCGCTGGTCTAGCTGAGGCCTCTTGGAACTGCCGCATGCAGCCTTGGCCCAGTAGTGGCTCCTTCAATCTCCCCTTTCTGCAGTCGCCTCCGTAGGTGAAGGCTGAGACAGCCCGGAAAGAACTCCTAGGGCTTGCCCCGGAGCCTCGGGCTTGCTCCTTGTATTCGTGGTTTATGCAAAGGGTCTGAGCTGGGATTGCCAGGGAACCCTCAGAGTCGCAAGCCACTGGAAAGGCCAGGTTCGTGTGGCACCTCCGCCCCTTGGACTTGAAGGGAATCAGCCCACTGGACAGAGAACAAAGTTGTGGTGCCTTCACTCCCTCATCCCTTCTAGGTGTTAGCCCCACCTAAGATGCGGAGTGGGGCAGAGGGACTGTCCTGTCAGGAGAGCCTGGAACTCCTACAAGTCCTCACCACAGGCGTTTATCTGGCTGGGGCGCTGGACCCAGAACCTCCCGACTCTCACACCTTGTGGTCTTCTGCGCAGCGAACAGAGGGTGCGTGGCATTCGAGTGCGGGGCTCAGGAGGTCCCGGGCTGGACCCTGCGGATCTCCCATTTCAGGTGCCCTTGTGTTTCTGGAGGTGAGAGAGAGAGAGCGTGTCCCCATTCGGGCAAAGCCTGGGCGCCACTTTCAGGTCTACCGCGGCCCAATCCAAGCTGCAGATCGGGGCGGGTTCCCCTCTAGGCAGACAAGTCAGGCCGACCCAAAGAGGCTTCTGGCTAGGATCGAAGAACCTGGCCCCGGTCTTTCCAGTCCTTCGAGGGAGCAGCTCTGCTTTTCTTCCGAGGCCTGTCCCAGCCCTTCCCCTTTTGTTTTCCTTGACTACCTTAAAGACACGTTAAACTTTACTGCGCATTGTCCAGCTGAGAAAAGTGGAACTTTTGCACAGGTCGATAGACCTTGCAGCGACGCAAGTATTGTACCCCTTTCTTTTGAAACCCGTTTGGGCTAACTCAAGTTTGCCACTTCGAAATCAAAACTCAGGTGCAGCATTTTCAGTTTGGGCGTGGAAAAGACCCAAGGGTTATGAAGATGGCCCAGGAGAACTGCAGGGGGGCGGGCTGGCCAGTGCCGGGGAGCCCCTCTTTGCCACCGACCCCTTTTTCCAGCACAGAGCTCCTCCGCTCCCCACCGCCACTGCTACTCGACCATCTGCGAGTCAGGAAGAGCTGTGCTCAGGGCGCCCTGCTTCCCCTCGCTTCCGCCCATCGCCTGGAATGTAGAAGTTCTGGAAACTTTTTTCTCACAAGCGTGCCTGAGATGTTACTATCTTATCTGAAATGAGAGCATCTGGTACAACTGTTTTTAAAAATCCTTTTGTTAGAAATCAGGTGTGCATTTGATCACCATCTTTCCGCACCCAATCAAATTTCTTGGATTCTTCTTTTTAAGAAATTTTCTTTCCACCGAGGTGGATGCAGTCTGAGGCTTACGTCCAGTCTTCCGGGGCACTAAGGTCCTGACCCTGGAGCTGGGCTGTGGGGCATTTTCTTTCTTTTACCCCGAAGCGAAGTTCGCAGTAGAAAAGCATCCGTTCTCACTTCGCGTCTCCCCAGCTGGCTGGCTGCAGCGGGGTTGCTCTCACTGTACGGCCGCGCGCCGGCGTGGCCAGTTTCCCAGAGAGTGCAGACTCGGGACCGGAGTACACCGCCCTCTTGTGCAGACCGCTCCATTTTCGTCCATGGAAACTCGGGTTTCCTCTCTCCTGCCCGCAGGACGCTGGAGCGCAGAGGTCCGAACAGTCCCGAGGTTCCCAGACTGGTTCAGTTTTGCACTTTTCATGCGGACACTGTACCTAACCCAGCGCCTGACCCTGGTCCTCCAAGCAGGGAGCCTGTCGTCGGCGCGCAGGTCTTTCTAGAGGTCACCGCTGTTGCTGCCTTTCTTCAAGGGATTTCTGCCTTCCCGCCCTTCGGGTTGCACAGCTAGCGTCTAGATGGACAGAAACACAGCAAGGAGGAAGGAAAATCGGCGCCCACCTCCGCACTTGCAAAGAACGCTGCGAACTCCAGGCCTCTATCAGATAGCGTTGTGCTCTGTACTGCGGTGCCCGCGAGCGCGCTCGAGGGGCTCCCCGGCTCCTTCCGCTGTCCACCGCGCGCCTACACATCAATGGAGCTTAGCGTTCGACCCAGAGCTCTGCTTTTCGCTGCCCGCCAGCCTGGGGCGGCCCCGGCCGGGTGACCTCCCCACGCGGCCGGCTCGTGCTCAGCCACGGATGCTCTCAGCCCCGCGACCTGACCTGGCCCTCCCGGGCTTCCGGGGGGACCGCCCCAGCATTCTCCAGGAGCGCTGGGGGCCGGGAAGCCCAAGCCAACACAAAACTCTCCCCGGCTCTGGGGAATCTTTCCAGTCCCTGATCCCCTTCCCGAGTTGCTCTTCTTGTAACATTGGCGTTTCCCCCTCCATTCCAGATCTCAGAAGTTAGTGAACTGTACAAAACTAAGTGTTTTTCAACGATCTATTTCTTTAACGAAAGAGAAGACAAAATGAGAGACCCCTCCCTATAACAGTGACTGGGGAAGCCCACCACCAAATATGGACACGCCTTTGCAGCCGCACCAGAAGGGGCCAATAAACTAAATTAACAACGTTAGCAGAACGTCCTTGTTTAGAAAAAGGAGAGTTAATGAAGAAAAACTTCAGACAGCCAACCTGGGGTACGCAGTCCTTCTCCTCCCCTAGGCCCGGCTGATTGCACCGGCCCTGCAGCCGAACCTCTCTGCTTCAGACTGGTCCTTTTGGACACATTTCCCTAAAGTTGGGAGCCGCTCTAAAGGGAAGAAGAGAATGTTTCCCTTCCCCTCTGCAAACCCACAGGAACCTGCACAGAGCGACCGGCCTGCTTCTCTCCGCTCCTTTGGTTCCTCCTGTTTAAGATTTAGTTAGGGAAATTGGGAAGGGGGTGGGGTGGAAGAAAGTTTAAAAAAAAAAATCAGGAAGGCGTGAGCCGCAGCGGTGAGTGTGTCAATCAGAGGGTTTTGTGCCTTGGGGCTCCTAGCGGTTCCAAGCAGAGGTGTCCCAGGGCAGCCCCACAATGAATATGAATAGGAATCCTTGCTAACTGGGACAGCAAAGCGCACCGCCCTGAAAGATGGCACGTCATCCTAACCAGCCCAGGATAGATAGGAGGGCTCCTTTTGTCTGTTTTCTGCGCCGCAGCTCTATAAAAGCCCCTCTTTTTCAGCGTGAGGTTAGTTCAAGCACGCACGAACTACTGTCCGGGAAGCAGCCTGACCGGAGAGGGGGAGCGCAAGGCAGAGGCGGAGCGGGGCAGTGCCTCCCTGGGCTTTTCTTCTCACGTCTCGCAACAGAGAAGTGGGTTGCTGGGCAGTGCGGATTTTTTTTTTTTTTTAACTCAAGATTCTCTTTAATTTCCCGCCTAAAGCCTCCCCCCACGGTAGGGCCGCATCCCCTGTAATAAAATGAATTCTGATTCGAGCTCTGTCTCCAGCAGAGCCTCATCTCCGGACATGGATGAGATGTACCTGAGGGACCACCACCGCCACCGCCACCACCACCAAGAGAGCCGTCTCAACTCGGTCTCGTCCACACAGGGCGACATGGTGCAGAAGATGCCTGGGGAAAGCCTCTCGCGGGCCGGCGCCAAGGCCGCGGGAGAGAGCAGCAAGTACAAAATCAAGAAGCAGCTGTCGGAGCAGGACCTACAGCAGCTACGGCTGAAGATCAACGGACGCGAGCGCAAGCGGATGCACGACCTGAACCTCGCCATGGACGGGCTGCGCGAGGTCATGCCGTACGCGCACGGGCCCTCGGTGCGCAAGCTTTCCAAGATCGCCACTCTCCTGCTGGCCAGAAACTACATCCTCATGCTCACCAGCTCCCTGGAGGAGATGAAGAGGTTGGTTGGCGAAATCTACGGGGGCCACCACTCGGCCTTCCACTGCGGGACCGTAGGACACTCTGCCGGCCACCCGGCCCACGCGGCCAACGCGGTGCACCCCGTGCACCCCATCCTGGGCAGCGCGCTGTCGTCCGGCAACGCCTCGTCCCCGCTGTCCGCCGCCTCCCTGCCCGCCATCGGCACCATTCGGCCGCCCCACTCGCTGCTCAAGGCGCCCTCCACGCCGTCCGCGCTGCAGCTGGGCGGCGGCTTCCAGCACTGGGCCGGGTTGCCCTGCCCGTGCACCATCTGCCAGATGCCGCCGCCGCCGCACCTGTCCGCCCTCTCCACCGCCAACATGGCCCGGCTCTCGGCCGAGTCCAAGGACTTGCTCAAGTGAGCAGCCGGCCGCCTCGGCTGCGGAGGAAGAGGGCAGAGCGGCGGGAGGGGCCTCCGGGCCGGGCGGGTCGAGAGAGGCTGGACGGTCGGGCTGTGGGCGCGGGGTCCGTGGCCTTCCACACCGCCCAGCGATCTCAGCTCCCGCAGCACCCCCGGGTCGGGGGAAAGGACCAAAACCAAACCGCAGTTTCTAGGCGGTAGCGAAGGGGACTCGGACCAGACGTCGCGTTTTGCATGCATGCTGCTTTTCCCCGTGCCGCGCCAGTACTTCTCCCTGCCGTACGCTCTTGTCAGAAACCGCATTTCTTGTGTAAAGATGGGATCGGTGTAGTTAAAAACTTGGAGAGGAACTTTCTGAGTCGGCTTTCTCTGGCTCTGTGTTCTCACCTCGGAAAAAAAGTGGCCATTCCTTTTGTGCAAAACAAATGTAAATATTTCCTTGAGATGGATGCAATTATGATTCTCTCTGTCCTTGCCATACTTTTTCTAGAGACAGTGGAGAGAGACAGAGAGAGAGAGGGAGGGGGAATATAAATCTCAAGACTCAAGTTTTGAATCTCAACTCCGATCCAGGGCATGACCACCTCCTCTCGGTTTTCCTTTCCACGCAGCGTAGGTCAAAAGGATGCATGCAGGCTCTAAATGAATCTTGTCTAACCATGTTGTGCAGGCCTCGGTGCCATTTTCCTTGTAACAAGGATTTATTAGTGAATTCTCTGAAGTACTCCATGTATATCTGTGGTTGTCTGAAATGAACAGGGGGCAGAGTGCAACGACCCACACGCACACTCGCTTCTTCCCCTCCCCCACACCCTGCAAACTTCACTCCACACCTTCCTGGCTCTTCTGGGGGCTGCGATTACAAAAGCTTGGGCTCCAGCCGGTACCTTGCCCTATCCCCCTTGCTCAGTTATTCTGCATGTGGGGTTCCTGGCTCTCTCTGTTATCAGCTTTGAAAACTCACTGTAGTTTGGGGAGGAGGGCTGTTTTTATTTTCCTGAACATTTGCTTGAAATATTTTGTTAGGGCCTCAAAGACAATACCTGTCTTTATTTTTTATATATTCTTGATAACTATGATATATTTATTAATAACCAGTGTTTCTGGATGAGATTTCAAATAAAAAAGAACCTTTAAATCCTGGTTTTGTCTTTGCCTTAAACTCTTAAGACAGTGAAGGTAGTGGAATAGGAAAATTGCGGACCCCTTTGTGAGGCGTGTCTGGGTGTGAATGAGAGATTTGGGTCGGGGGAGGAGGATATGGAGATTTTTCTCTGGATTTTAAAAACAAAAAGGCTGGATAAATTGGTGTTAGTCATTGCAACTAGATGTCCTTCAAATGGAGCAGGATCCATACTCAGTCTTGCACTGTTTCAGCTCCTTATTTCTCTGCAGTAATCTGATGCTCATAAACTCAGCAGTTGAGATCAAAACAGTAATCTGGAAACAGAAAGTGGCGGGAAGCTCGGGAGGCAGTGATGACTGCACTGGCAGTGTGGCAACCAACAGGAAGAAAGCAGTAAGTTCAATTATTTTACTTTTAAATCCACCTGGCGGGTCTTTCCCTCCCATGTTAAAATCCAGTATGCGTTGAAGAAGTCAACAAAGAGCAAGTCCTATGGAATAATCATGCGCCCGTACTGCTGCCTGCCTGCCCCTTGGCAGCTGCCTGCAGAGAAAGAGAAGCCTCTCTGCTTTGTAAGGTGAGCTCCGGGGAGGCAAAGGACTGCCCAAGTCTCAGCAGCCCCAAGATTTATAGCTAGAATGCTCCTTTCTTCTCCCCTTAGAAGATTGCTGTTCTGATTAGTCAAATACATGGGGCATCTTGGGTTTAAATGAGGCTCAAACAGGGGTCACTTTAATCAATTACTTTTCTCTCCTCCCACGTCCCCCATCCCAGTAACACTTTCGAATAGTTTGTACCCACAAGAGTAATCTAGCAGTAGGTTTTGATGATTTGTTTTAAAAGGACAGGAAATCAATCTGAAATGATACCTCTAACAGCACACGTGGCTATTTCCTAGGGAGGAAATGGGACTGTGATGGAAATATACCGCTCTAGAGTCTGCCCCTGAATTAGCCGCAGTATCATCTCACAATTGGTTGAGACCCATGATCTCTTTCCAGGATCCAGCCAAGAGGGTGCGTTTAAGGGTGGCTTTGCCCTGCCCTTCGGAGTCCCCTTGCCAGCCCCGTTCTGCCCTTCTCTGGGGAGCACCTCTGTAAGTCCCCTTCTATCTGACTCACTCTCCTCTACACCTTTTTACTTTCCCAGTATCACGAGGCCCTCAGCCAGGGAGAAGAACCAAAGTGAGGGTCTTTGGCAGAGGGTGCTGGTTTGGGGCAGATAAATGGGGGAATAATCGTCTGTTTCCCAAGTGTGATTCATTTCTCTGAGTGAGGAAAGAGCCTGTTGAGGATTTATTTGAAACCAACACAAGGCAACCTTCCAGCCTTGCCCCGAGTTTATTATTTAGAGAGGGGAGGGGAGGGAAAGTTTCATCAATCAGGAAAACGACTTTCTCTTCAACTGCTTGCTTCTTTAGAGTCCTGTTTCCAGCTGCCTGGTCCTTACAACTGGCCCAGGGGTGGGCTGCTGGGCTGAGCCTGGGGCCCCACTCCACACCAGGGCACTGCTGGCTTTTGCTGTTCCTGCTGCTGGAATAAGAATTCCGTGAGTAGCCTACAGTAGTCAGTTTAAACACTTGCAAAGTCCACTGTCCCAGGGGATTGGGCTGAAAGGAACCAAAAGCCCATATTGCTCTCCTCCAAGTCACGGAACGGGACTGAAAATGGCACTGCTCCCAACATTAGGATGATGCCCCCAAATCCCGAAGCTCTTTTCTCAGTTTCCTTTTTCCTGGAGTTTAGGAGAGAAGATTTCCTTAAAAACAGGGCAGAAATCAGAGAGGGGAATAAGATTTTCTGCAGTCTCTGGATTTATTGGGAAGCAAAGAATCAGTCCTGCCTCTTGGGGAGGGTCTTTGCGGTGAGCGGCAGGGGCAGCCCCGTGGGGATGTGGGTTTGTAGGAGGATTCTGACTTTCATTGCCTTTCTGGTTTAATTCTCAAATTAGCAATGCGAGACACAAGACTGCTTGGCCACCAGGGTGAAAACTGTTCTTGGCCACCATTTGCTCATTTTAAATTGACTACTGTCTGAAAAGTTCTCAAGTTTGAAGTAGTGTTAAATTCAATCTAGAAATGGGAAGAGGTTCCCTTCACTCCAGAGTAAAGGATGCTTTACACTTGAAAGGATGGCGCTGCCTCCTGAGTGGAGCTACCTCCAGAAGCCCATGCTAGGAACAAATCTCTCCTTGCATTCCTGGGCCTGTGACTGAACTTTCAGGGCAAAGAAAGTCACTCTTGAGAAGGGAAAGTGAGGCCAGCCTTGGCTGTGCCCACCAAATCTTGGCTCCTGGGGTTGCCCTCCCTTTGCCCCAGGTTTTGGGGGACCTTGGGTTTATGTACCCCCAAAAGGACAGGGAGAAGTGGCCTGAGTTTACAAAGCCAAAGGTTTATTTCCCAGTTCCCATAGCAGGAAGCCTAATTTCCTATCGGGCTTCTTTTTATGAAGCTGCTGGGTGGAGCAAACAAAGTTTTGTCCCTTGCATTGATGTCCCAGCAGAAATTGCAAAAGCCCCTTTCCTCTGGGAGAGCGGGGGCTCCCCGAAGCGCTTAGCTCAGGCCTGGAGGTGTAAACCTGCTAGATGTAGGGCTCTTCTCTCCTCCCGCGGCCGCAGCTGCCCCGCAGACTCCGGTCTCGCCCCTTGGGGGGCCTTGCCCTTGTCAAAAGGCATCCTCCCCAGAGGCCAGCGCCCCTAGGCCCGAGGACCCCACGGCAGCCCGTCCCCACTCCCGCAGACGACTAGGGGCCAGACTTAGCAAGGAGGCAAGAGGAGAACCGGCAAAAAGGGCCTGGAAATGTCCTCGGAAAGATCTAAACAAGGAGGGGAGTGTGGTCGAGGGAGACGCGCCTGCCTCTCTAACCCTTGGAAGAACGCGGGTCTCGGCAGTCTGAGCCCGGGTACTCGGTGCCCTTGTCAGCGACTGCAGAGGACTCAAAGCTCGCAGGCTCCTGGTAGCCGAGTGTGGGTTTTCCGTGAAACTTTTCCCCGGACCTTGCGGCTGCGGGGAGCCGGGAGGGCAGCGCGGCCCGAGCCGAGCGGAGCAGCAGGGAACAGGCGCGGTCTGCGCTCCCCGGCCCGCTGCCCCGCTTCACGCCACCCGCGCCCTGCGCCCGCCACCCGCGGGGGCCGGCGGGCACCTTCCCGGGCTGAGCTCTGTCTCCCCGCCCGTCCCGGACTCCTCGCCGCCCCGCACGGCCCCGGGCGAGAAGGAATCGGAGGGGCGAGGCTCACCCCGGCCGAGCGGCGCCGCGGGGGCCTCGATGCTCAGCGTCAAAGAAAGCGGGGAGGGAGAAAAGCAGCGAGGACTACGAGGAACCCGCGCTCGGCCGGGCCGACTCCGCACGGTTTGTGCGCTTGGCTCCGGAGGTCGGGCCCGGCCCGGCCCGACCCGAGTGGGACCCGGAGGAGGAGCGCGCCGCGCAGCGCCGCGGACCCACCGGACCCGACGAGCCTCCGCCGCCGCCTGCGCCCAGCGCCCCCGCGCAGACTCCTGCGCCCGCAGCCAGGCGCGGGCCAGAGTTTAGGGCAGCCGGGGACCTGGGCCCGCTGGGGTCAAGGCCGGGGCGCGCGGAGGGGAGGGTGTGCAGGTCTGGGGGTTCAAGTCCTGGCAGGGGCCCGGCGTTGGGCGGATAGTGAGTGCTCGGGTTGCTCGCTGCCCCGGGGGTCAGGGTCAGGGAGGAGGGCGCTTTCCAGGGTCTGCAGGCGGCTTAGGAGAGCTGCTCCCCGGAGTTTGAGGGTTCCGTTCCGCCCTGACTTCTGCAGGAGCAGCGGTCTGAGAACACCCATCACCTCGCTTGGCCGGGAAAACTCCAGAACGGGGTGGGGGGCGGGGTCTGCGCCCTGCAGCCCCGGGAACTTGCTTCTGCCCAAAG